AGGCCGCTCGGAGGCTATTCTTTCCGCTCTACGCAAAATGCGTAAATGCAGCGGACAGTGAGGGCCCGGAAAGTGTAACCGCCTTAGTGAATGGAAATGGAAGGAGGAAGTGTGGTTGCGCCGTAAAAGGGTAAATAAGGTTGCTGGAGACAAAGAACTCTTAAAGGCGCAGCACCGAGACCATCATTAAACATGGACAGTGGGAGCTTAATGATGGGTTAGGCAGGCTATAGCCATATCCCACCACAGTCAATCCGCTTTATTTACCAACACGTATAGATTGCTGTGGCTGAGGAGAGTATGAGAAGCTCTTCATTAAAGCACATACAGTAAAACATGACATCCCATGTAAATCCCCACAGCTCAGACAATGAGTATCCCCACAGCACCTCCACACATCCCCTGACTCCTGGGAGAAGGTGGCTGGAGACAGGGGGATTAGCATGCATGTGGTACCCAGACCTCCTCTACCATAGGACACTGTCTGACAATTAAAACAATATTCAATTCTTATTATTTGTAAAGCGCCAACAAATTCCGCAGCGCTTTACAATACAACTTCAGCGTGATGCCATTTATCAGCTACATGTTAATATTCTCTTAAAAAATAGTTTTAAAAAAAAAAATGAGCGTAGCATTTTAGGTCTGTTTATTTCTCACATGTTCTGTAGTACTGTTGATATTGTAATGACATGCTACCCGGGTTATTCACAAAAATGGGAACTGACCAGGGAATTGTGATTAAAGGAACACTATAGTCACCTAAATTACTTTAGCTAAATAAAGCAGTTTTAGTGTATAGATCATTCCCCTGCAATTTCACTGCTCAATTTCACTGTCATTTAGGAGTTAAATCACTTTGTTTCTGTTTATGCAGCCCTAGCCACACCTCCCCTGGCTATGATTGACAGAGCCTGCATGAAAAAAAAACTGGTTTCACTTTCAAACAGATGTAATTTACCTTAAATAATTGTATCTCAATCTCTAAATTGAACTTTAATCACATACAGGAGGCTCTTGCAGGGTCTAGCAAGCTATTAACATAGCAGGGGATAAGAAAATCTTAATTAAACAGAACTTGCAATAAAGAAAGCCTAAATAGGGCTCTCTTTACAGGAAGTGTTTATGGAAGGCTGTGCAAGTCACATGCAGGGAGGTGTGACTATGGTTCATAAACAAAGGGATTTAACTCCTAAATGGCAGAGGATTGAGCAGTGAGGCTGCAGGGGCATGTTCTATACACCAAAACTGCTTCATTAAGCTAAAGTTGGTCAGGTGACTATAGTGTCCCTTTAACAATGCTGCTATTCTCTAACTATACACATTTATGAGATGTTGATACTGTATCCAGTAGTGGTATTTATAATTGGCACCAAGGATATTGCACCATATTGATACACTGCATAATCAATGTAGAATGCATTGGGAAGTGTTGTACAGGCACTGCAGAATCCATGTAGAATGCGTTGGGAAGTGATGTACAGGACACAAGAATGTCAAGTATAGCTTATGACTAGATTTTCCTTCCAGGTGTAAAACTATTTTAATTCCTCTGACGGAGGTCACAGAGTATGCAGCAAAATGCAGTTTTTGTTTTAACATGCTGCTTGGATGGCTGTGAAGATAGCATAAAGAAGTGCATGTAAAGTGATATTGAGAAAGTCTATGCTTCTCAAACAATGCCATTAGTTGAATACAACCAGTACTAAGGTTCGGAGCCCAGCTAATGCCATATCTCTCCTAACAGGAACGCATTGTGAAATTATAATGCAATAGGCCGCTTCAATGACTGCACTGTCAGACCTCTTATATTTGTGTGGCATCACTTAGAGGTTGTTATGGCTCTTCCTCCAACTGCAGTAGGAAGGCAGGGTAGGAGTTCATACAGAGGTTAGTTTGTCACTAGACCCCAGGGAAGACCCCTACTGTGGCATAAGTGAGAGCAGGAAAGTTGCTTTAAAAAAAAAAAAAAAAAAAGATTTCTGTGGGAAAAACAAGTCTTATGGCTTGACTGCTGTGTATATTTGTGTTAAGCAATGTACACAAAATCAAAACACATGCAAGTATTTCAATGTGTGTTGCCCGGGTTTTCATTTTGTGAAATAAATCAGACCATATCTTTAATGTACAGTATAGTATTAGTAATACAAACACAGTGTTATAGTAACTTTAGATGTTAAGCCCCCCGCCCCCCTCCCAAAAAATAAAAAAAGTGTTACTAATATGTTTCCCCCAGTTTGCCGGCCTTGCCAAGGCCAACCCAGCTGAGAACATTGAAACGCAATCTTTGCAGGACCTATCCCATTAATTCCCTCTAGTGGCAGTCTAGTGGCCTGCATAGAGAGTATAATTTATATGAAACTAGTTTCTTTAAAAGGAGCATTCAAAGAGTAATCTTAAAGGGGCACATGTCCCTTCCCAGGTTTAACAGATTATGTTTTCCTTATCCCCTATAGTTAAAGGGATACTGTGGGCACCCAGACCACTTCAGCCCATTGCAGTGGTCTGGGTGCCAACTCCCATCACCCTTAACCCTGCAAGTGTAATTATTACAGTTTTTATAAACTGCAATAATTACCTTGCAGGGTTAAGTCCTCCTCTAGTGGCTGTCTACCAGACAGCCACTAGAAGGACTTCCGGCTTCATAGACGACTTTTGGTCGTCTAAACGACGCTGGATGTCCTCACGTTATGCATGAGGACCTCCAGCGTTGCCGGAATCCCCATAGGAAATCATTGAATAATAAACAAAGTAACAGAAATAGAGGTAAACAGTAATACAAAAGTAACCTCGCCACTTGTACTTGGAGGGGCCTGCTTGCCAGCCTCCTGCCCACAGACTATGGGCCCTGCAGGGAAACCTGTAAAAGGCTACCGAACTTGACTCACTGTTAGCACTGATTTCCCTGGAATTGTTTTGGACATAGGACCATGTGCACGGTCGGTCAAAACTATGACTTCCCGGAAATTCTGTAACCCCTAAACCAATCTGGGTGATTTTTGGATATGTTTTTCACCCAGATCAGGGCTATCAGGGCATGTTATGGGGTTTTATGTGTTTTTAAGGTACTTTTTGGGGTTTCATAAAATTGTATGTTTTTCTGTGCTTGGAGATAATTGGGTTAGATTAGTACAGTTCCTAATTCAATTATCTCCCAAGCACAGAGGAGGGATTCTATTGTTGTGTATGGGATTGTTTCACTGTATGACTCTTTTTATTGGTTTATTCACTTTGTGTCCCTGTGCCCAACAAGGTCCACCTGGGTGTCACCCTTGTTGGGAAACTTGCATTAAAGGCCAGTGTGCCTCCATTAAAATTCTGTTCCTCGTTACCCTCAACATAGAGTCTCATGTGTGAGGGAAACGGCTGTATCTATCTTGGGGATTGCTATAATCATTATACTCCCTTGGATTCTCTGAGCTCTTTAAGAGCTATTCCTGCTTGACTCTCTGGGTGTAGGAGAGGTCTGCCCACGGGAAGCTGGACCCTGGTCTTTGGTCCAGGTGGGTGAAGGACGGTAAGACCCCGGCACAGCTAAATCGCTGGAAGTGGGATCTGCAGTGCTTATGGTGTCTGGTGGAGTGCTGGAATTCCTCGGTGAGCACTAGGATCATTGATTGGCGGAGGCACTCGGTTGGAGTGCCAGGCGGTCCGTCACAAGTACTATACCAAAAATCTTTTTTAAGCCCCGAGGCAGAAACACAAGTCACCAACTCCCCCAATGTTTCGGCACCAACTGGTTGCCTTTATCAACCTTATTGTTTTTTTGTCTGATATTGTGATTTTTCTACTGATTAAAGTCTTATTGTACTTAATGATTGAAGTTGTTAAAGTGTGCATTCTATATTATATATGGATATACCGTATTTACTCGAGTATAAGTCGACCCGAATATAAGTCGAGACCCCTAATTTTACCCAAAATACTGGGAAAACTTATTGACTCGAGTATAAGACTAGGGTGGGAAATGCAGCAGCTACTGGTAAATTTCTAAATAAAATTAGATCCCCCCAAAATTATATTAATTGAATATTTATTTAGTGTGTGTATATAATGAATGCAGTGTGTGTGTATATAATGGAGTGTGTTTGTGTATGAATACAGTGTGTGTGTGAATGCAGTGTGTGTGTGTATAAGTGCAGTGTGTGTGTGTGTATGTGATGCAGAGCCTTGGTGGGGGGTGGGCATTTTTATTATTTTTTTAAATTATTATTTTTATTTTATTAGTATTTAAAATTTTATTTATTTTTGTCCCCCCTTCCTGCTTGATACATGGCCAGGGAGGGGGGGGTCTCATTCCCTGGTGGTCCAGTGGCATGGGCTGTGTAGGAGGGGGGCTGGCAGCGAGCTGTAACTTACCTTTCCTGCAGCTCCTGTCAGCTCCCTTCTCCTCCGTTCCGGTCAGCTCCCCTGTAAGTCTCGCGGTCTGAGTGCTGCGCGGCTCTGACCCCGCGGTTCTCGCAAGATTTACAGTGGAGCTGACCGGAACGGAGGAGAAGGGAGCTGACAGGAGCTGGTCTGTATTATGGCAATGTAAGTTTCCATAATACAGACACTGACTCGAGTATAAGTCGAGTGGGGGTTTTTCAGCACAAAAAAGTGCCGAAAAACTCAGCTTATACTCCAGTATATACAGTAAATTTAATTTAAAAAAACCAAAGCATGTAATGAAACAAAAGGTTAACTCAATTTATAGGTGATTTTTTCAAGTATTTTATACAGTGGTATAAATGCCAGAGAAGTGACAGTTCCCTGTTAAAGTTAATTTTGTTCATGTTCTAATTATCATGTGGTAGCAGTTTTCAGTGTTTTATCATTTGTGAAATTCCGAAGTAATCAGTGGCCATTTTAATTGGTGGCCATGTTCTTATCTTTAATTAAATTTGTGACACACTAGCAGAACTTCCATATAATCATATTAAAATTAAACAGGTGGTTCACTGACTTTCTCCCTACTTAACCTTATCCAGACTGTGGAGGAGTTCGAAGATTGTTTGTGCATAACCACTACAAAAGTAAAGCATTGAATCTGACTTTGTCACAGACACAGGTTGAACACCGTCCTTTCCCTTCCAACGGTGCACTGAAGCAATTGTATCTCTAGGAATCCACATAACTCTGCGCTGGGCAAATATGGTTGGAGTAAACTACTGATCAATGATTTTTCACCTTGATTTACCGGTCACGCTATAAAATAAATTTTTACACCTACTACAAGGCAGCTCGGTTCACTATGTTATCTCAAAGAAATCTGTCTTGATACAGGGCAAAATGGATTTAATCTTACTGGTCCATTGCGCTCCGTCCTATGGTATTCTAATGCTGCCCTTATACAATCCCACCCTAGTCTTGTTCTGCAACACTCCTTACGACTGTGGAGAAAGTATTGGGTGCTATGGAGCCTTTTCTCTGAAGTCATTACTTTCCCTGTCTCTTCTGTAACCATGGGTTCCCAGAGGGGTTAACCCCTTTAGCCTTTCAATGGTAGATTTAAAAAGGCATCACAGAGGTCAGACATCTGATATGTGCATCTGGTGGAGAAGTCCACCTTCCTCCCTCTGAATCTTTTTCAGGCAAATCAGCCCCTCTATGTTGTGCATTTTTAATCTAAAGGCTTATCCTAAGGGGGAATGCATTTTCTATGAACTTAACTATAGACTATCGCATAAGAGACCAGGCTTGATCTTGTATTCATAGTTCATTGCCACTGCTTGCCCTAATTGCCCACACTACACATCAAAATGGGAACACTACTTGAGGGACAAACTAGAGGAAAGTGACTGGACTGGCATTTTCATAAAAACGTTGCACATCACTTAAAGGACCATTCTAGGCACCCAGACCACTTCAGCTTAATGAAGTGGTCTGGGTGCCAGGTCCTTCTAGGGTTAACCCATTTTTTCATAAACATAGCAGTTTCAGAGAAAAAAAAAAAGAGAATGGTGTCACACAAGTGTAACACCCACTGAAAACACTGGGCTAAACCACCATCAGCCAATCATTGCTCACGTTGGTCATCACCCAATGAATCTCCTGGTGCTCTCAGGTATCTGCAGATAACTATATGAGTGCATAAACACAGAAGCATTCCTTCCAAAGTGATGTGCAGATGCATGCACTGTCAAAGCAAATTCATTTACACGGTATGCTCCTACCTGCGGTCCACTGGTTGTCGGTCTCCTCTTCCAATGAGAGCTGGAAGATCCTGCAGATCCGGAGTTTTAGCTGCACTACCAGGCCTAGCAAAGACTTTCCAGCTCTCATGGAGGAGGTAACTGGACCCCAGGTAAATAGGGAAGTGATTATGGTGCTTAGAGTATGCCTTTAATGCAACACGTAGAAGACTTGCTGCTTGATCCAAGGAGATATTTGACTGCCATTTTGGGGTCAAGAAGGAATTTATTCTTAGTTTGTTGCAAAATTGGAAGCGCTTCAGACTGTGTTTTTTGCCTACTTTTGGATCGACAGCAAAAACCTATGTGAGGAAGGCTGAACTTGATGGATGCAAGTCTCTTTTCAGCTATGTAACTAGTATTTTGTGAAATACTACAAATTGTAACAGTGTAAGTACTATATAGAGACCTCATGGTTTATAAAACATAATAATAATAATAATAATAAAGAAATATGTAAACATTTAACATTATATACTTTTAAAAAGGAGGTAAAAAAAATACCACAAAAAGTAAACCCATGCACATACATATTTACAGTGTGTTTTACATATTTTTTTGATTTGCATTTCGCTTACACAGATCTTCTGCCATATGAGCAAACAGGTTAACAACACAGAATCCGGCACAATGTTCTGCAGATCGCGTTGATTCAATCTGACACTATCCCCCAGCAACTGCTTCACTGTGCTTGTCTTGTTCTTTCCTTCTTCACATAAAGGATGCCCGTAGCGGTGAAACTCCAACCTCGGTTTAGTAAATCTCTCCCTTCTCCAAAGTGCAAACATCAGTTGCTGCTTCACAATGAACGCAGGCATTAAACATTATTTTGCCTCAATGAATGTAGGTATTAAATTATTTTATTTTGCTATGTGTGGTGGGACAAAATGTTGAGCAATAACTGGGACACGTAGACGTCCCCCTCCAAATCACCGCATCCCTGCAACTGAACCTTGCTGCTGCTTGCGGATCTTGTTGAGCAGCTCCATGTACTGCACCATGGTGTCTGCAGGTGTGTACAGTGAATCGTGTTTGGCACTGAAGATAGGAGGAACAGATGGTGCATTGTTACCCATGAAACTCTGCATGAATTCCACCATTAGGTTCCAGCAATCGCCTGGCACAGCACACGGGCAGTAATCAACCTGAGGTAAAGCAAAACACGAAGAGGTTACAACAGTAAATGTAAATATTATTTCAATTATTGCTTACAATCTTTCTTGTTCGGACTAGCATAGACTGTGACTTTTAGTGTATTTTGGTACAATAGACTTCCAGTTCACGTCTGAGCGTGCCTTTAACCAAACAATGTCACTTGACTGTCTGCTATTCAAAGAAAATCATAACAACTGTCTCTTTGTCATTCATAAAACCTTTACACGGATGTAATACGCTTGATGATAAGCTTTTGCTGCTGCATATTGCTGGTAATTGGTTGGAGTTAAATACTAATACACAAACATACACAGGAACATGAATAGCTGCAGGATGTAGGGAGCAACCCTTGTAACAAAAGATGGTGGTTTTAACAGTATAGGGTCAGGAATAGATTTGTGTTCCTGACCTTACAATGTTCCGGACCCTGTAAAAAGTTGACATTACATTTTGATCACATGTGGCTTTAGTAAATATGAGAGATGCTGGTCCAGTCAGAATACGTGAAATATTGATGTTTTTAAATAGTTGTAATAAAGGAGCATTGTGTTATATTTAGATGTTTTATAATATGCACGTTTTATATATTTTTGTATGTAATATATGCATTTAACTTTGTGTGATGTCATAATAATGCAACTATTGTTTTGCACATGGCACCTTAACTGATTGGCTATTTAAATGAGTTCACTCTCTGTTTGTGTTAGCTTGATAAAAGCTCCTGTGGGATCCAAAACGCTGTATGGTCTTCCAATAAAATCTGCTTTAATACCAGTTATATGTGACAGGTCCAACTTTCTTCATGATCCCTAAGTTACCGATAACTCAGGGAACTTGAACTACTACTAAGTGAAAGGGAAACTAGCCTTTTGATCTCTCTGTTTCTCCAGAAGAAATTGTTCAGGAGCTAAGTGTGAAAATAAGCAAACCTAAAATAATCTTTTAGGATTCTTTTCTTTCAGAAAATGTACCGGGATTGGACAAAAGCAGATGTGGTTCCAATCTTCAAAAAGAGTTCAAAAGCTCTGTCTGGAAATTATCGATCTGTTAGCTTAACATCTGTGACTGTCAAAGTATTTGTAGGGCTCTTAAGGGATAATATTCAGGAAATATTCAGAAACATGTAATTCGCAAAAATCACCCTGTTTATGAAAAATAGATCATTAATAAATAGGTCAAACTAACTTTATTGCATTGTATGAAGAAGTAAGTAGAAGTATAAATCAGGGTGTTGCAGTGGATGTGCCAAGGCATTCAATATGATTCAACACTGCAGGTTAGTGTTCAAAATAAAAATTCTTGTTCTTTGGTAGAACATTGGCTTAAAAGATAACGTACAGAGAGTTGTTACATAAATATTGCTAGGTAAGATTCGAGGGCTGTCTCAATCATCAAAAACAGAAGAGCATTCACCCCCAGATATGCAGTTTTAGTTCCATCTTTTTCTGATGTTTCATCTGGTCAGACCGGGAGTGTATATTATATAAGGAGGTGTTTTAAATGTGAAATGCTTGGGATATGGCATTAGGGAAGGAAGTTGCTCTGAAGCTTTATTTTAAGCACATGGCATATGTGCTGTCTATCATATCAACCAAACTTATTTAAGTGCTCTTAGAAAAAAAAATCTTTGATTTCTTTTTTTTAACCATTTGTGAAGAGAAAGGACAGTTCTTTTCTGAACTAGATCTATTTATTTTTTACCAAAACTTTCCTTAATGTTCTCTCTTTTCTGCTGAGTGCCTATATATAGTGCACCATTAATGAGACATTTATGGCCTTCCTATATGTGGTGTGTGATCTGAGGTGTGTCATATTTTTGACAAACAAATTCGTAAAAAATGACAGACTTTGGGCCAATACCTTTGGGTGTAGCAGGAATTATGGAAGGCTAGTGGTATTTGATAGCTAAGTCTTAAAGGTACCCATGCCGTCCACTTATTCATGTTTCAGTAGATGCTACAGAAGTGAAAAATTATTATTCACTAGTACTCATTCACTAGTCTTGGTAATAGTTCTAGATTAATTTAGTAATATGTTAAAAGAACTTGTATTATGACTAAACTTGTTACTACAATCAAGATGCAATGTACATAAAATCAGGCACCCAATAATGTAGAAAGACATTTTTGTCAACAAGATACAAAGAAGCTGAAAATGGCAATAGGTCAAGTGATTCTTTTTTTTTTAAATCTATTTTTGTTAAATTAGAAATATATAGAATTTCTTCATAAATACCTCAACTGAGATTCCACGGCCACTTTGCCCCATAGTGACTGTGCCAATCTTCACCAGGAAATCACAGTACTGGTAGCGAGTTCCACGAGTCTCCATCTTGTTGGCTTTAGCATTTTGGAAGAAGCCCTTCAGTTTCACCATCAGAACATCGAGGTTCAAGTCAGCAACCAAGCAAGGACCATTTTCAAATAGGGCAAAGGTGCTAAGAGGGTATTCTGAATTGTGCATTACATATAGAAGCTTCCCGGTTTGACCTGATTTATAAAAAGCAATATTACAAACATTTTATATTTGTTTCTTAAAAACATTCTTTAATATCTGATTCGATATTCATCAGTATATTTTAATTTTATGTTTTCCAGTAGCAGGGAACAATGGGTCTACTGCCTGCAATATTGACAAACATAATGCAAGAACCTTGTTACGCTGCCAGATTTGCCTTGCTGAACATAATCTACATGTATTTACAAAGGAAATCTGTTACCTTAAATGCTATATTGCTATCAAATTACCAATAGAAACAAGCATTAATGAAAACCACGTACATGTGTATTATTTTTCTATGTAGAACATAAAGTAGATGCTGCTTGTACCTGTGGTCCCCATGCTGGCACCAGCTGTATGATATGTTTCACAGTCCACATAAAACGTTCCTTGCTTCTCTGCTCCCATCTGCTCTAGTTTTCGGGACAGAAGTTCTACTGTCTGCTGCACACTCTTTCCTTCTGCCAACGGAACCTGTGAAACGCTGCGGTAGACATTCTTAGTCATATAATAGTTACTTATAACCAGTTTTATGGCATTGTATTAAAAGTGAAGTAATAACCACAAAAACTATTCGAATTGTGTAAGATCTAAATATAGAGTAATCATTTGCACTGTATACATAACTGCTATACTCTGGAACACGACAAAGAATTGCTTCTGTCCTAACTGTCCTCAGTTTCTAAGATCAGATTATTGCAACCTACCAAAAGGATAAGCAGATTCTGCCGTGAGGCATGTATTACAGCCATCATCCTCTGCTTTATATTACAGGCTAGTCAAACTATAGCATTTATAAACTGGATGTGCCAATGTCAGCGTAGTGCCGTTACTGATATCCACAGGTAAAGCATCTAATACAGCTGGACTTGATACCTCTTGATCACTATAGGAGAGCTAGTGGAAAAGTGTATACATGAAAATGAATATCACATATTGACCCATTTATGGACGGTGGCATTTATCCAACTTCTGAACCAAAGCAAAACCTATGATTTGTGCTAAGTGTTTGTTCCACCGTAATTTAAGGATTTCATTTTAAGAAATGTTATCTTTTTAATTATATATTGTTTTTTAAAGCAGAGCTTTCTAAACTTTTCATGTTGGTGACACACTTTTCAGACATGCTTTATTTCATGACACAGCAGAGGTCAAGACAGTGTTCTACTTCTCGAACATGTCACTTCAGTTGTGGCCGCGTGACCAGTGATACGCATACTGAACATGCGCAGTACCTGTATGATCCCTCGATAATCTCTGGCCCCTTTTCACAATAACAATCTGATACCAAGCCCAAGTTGGGTCTTCTCACATTAATTTCTGTGGCCGGCTGGCAGACTGGTGTGGCCTCTTTCTTCCCCCAGCCCTTTTGCGTTTCTGTTTCTCCCTCAACACATTTGTGAGTCTCTTTTTCCCCTTCCTCTGTGTGTGTCTCTTACCCTCAGCTCTTCTCTATATCTCTTTGTCCCCCCAGCCCCTCTGTGTCTCTTTGTACCCCCAGCCCACTTATGTGTCTTTTTTCTTCCCCAGCCTGTTTGTTTTTGTGCCCCCTTCTCCTGTGTCCTTCTTTTGCCCCCCCCTTCTCTCCTGTGCTCTTCTTTTGACCCCCACCCCTCCTCTGCCCTTCTTTTGTCCCCATCCCCTCCTCTGCCCTTCTTTCTTCTGTCTTCCTCCCCTCCTGTGCCCTCCTTTTTCCCCCTTCCCCTCCGCCTGCTCAGCCTCACCTTCCTCCATGTAGAATGGCCAAGCGGGTGGTCTGCGGTGGAGGAGCCTCTGTTTCCTGTACCCGGTCTGACAGGAAGCAGTTTCTTGCTCTTAGTGAGAATTTCCCGTCAGACCAGGTATGGAATACAGGAGCTCCTCTACCACGCTCCCCTTCTGTATATCGGTGTATGCACATAGTGGTTGGACTAGTGCACCATACTAATCGACAACTCATTTGCAGACATACCTACGGCAGCCGAAACACTGGGTTGCGACACAGTTTGGAAAGCTCTGTTTTAAAGGATAGATATTGTTTTTTTAAACAAAATATCCTATATGTATACCTTGCAACATAAGATGTGAATAAAATGTAAAAAATGGGTGGGGGGGTTGTTTTGATATTTTTTTTACAATTTTTCTTAAAATAACAATTTTTATGAATCATATGCAACTAAAGAAAAATAACTTAAAATAGATTTATGTATCAGTCCTGATTATTAAATGCCTTATACTGTATGTCAAGGATCAAATGAAACCTATGCGAACACGACCACAAATGCTTTGCCAACCTATATTTATACTACCCTAAACATACCCTACACTATTCCTAACCCTAGAAGAGCATTAAACCTTACTTTTCACTAATTATAACTCAGAGGGATTTCTCGGCTCATACAGTACAGATCGTTCTGTGACTGCCCTCTACTATGTGACTGCAGCATGAGAGGGTAATCTCCCTCTCTTGCGACAGCTCCGGTATGATGTCCCTGCAGATCCCACAGTAATCAGTGCTAGGCAGCTGCCATACCTCAGACTTGTGGCAGACAGAGATTCACGGCAGCTGAGCATGATCGCTCAGCTGTGGTGATTTAAATGTATTTAAAGGCCTGTATGCATAACTTGTGCGTTATATATAGCTCATCTAATCTTGGGTCACTAAATATGCGCTCTGTCGAAAACCCCAGTGCAGAATGTTTCATGCACACCAAACATCCTTAAAAATCACTGTGGAGGACAACATGAATTGTCTTAACATCCTTAAAGAGACACTATATTCACCAAAACAACTTTAGCTTAATGAAACAGCTTCGATGTACAGATCATGCCCCTGCAGTCTCACTGCTCAATTATGTTCCCTTTAGGAGTTAAATCACTTTTGTTTCTGTTTATGCAGCCCCAGCCACACCTCCTCTGGCTGTTACTCGCACAGCCCGCATGAAAATAAATGGTTTCACTTTCAATCAGATGTAACTTACTTTAAAAGTTTTTATATCCTGCTCTGTAAATTGAACTTTAATTATAAACAGGAGACTCCTGTAGGGTTTAATAAGTTATCAGAGCAAGAGATGTGAAGTTCTAAATTAAACTGTATTTTTAATACAGGAAGTGTAAACATTAGACGAATTTCTGCAGGAAGTGTTTGGAAGGCTGTGTAAGTCACATGCAGGGATGTGTGCCAGGGCTGTATAAACAACGTGATTTAACTCCTAAATGGCAGTGATTTGAGTAGTGAAACTGTAGGGGCATGATCTATACACCAAGTCTGCTTCATTAAGCTAAAGTTGTTTTGGTGACTATAGTGTCCCTTTAAGGAGTTAATGCAGTGGGCCAGCATGTATGTGTATAGATATACTTGTTTATTTTAAAATTAAAAAAAATAGGTGTAGTAATATATGTTAACTGAAACCTATTAACTAACTTCCCTGTCTGTGTCATTACTTCCTGAACTGCATGGGCTTTAACGAAGTTAGGGCGTAATAACACATCCTAACATCTGTGCCTTGTAGCCACCCTGAGTTATACTCACCTTGCTGGATCCCTTGAGGCAGTTCCCCAATTGCCAATCGATTACGATGGGAGTCACGTGATCACTGATACAATGTCATAGTCAATGATTTGTATCATGAGCTGTGACATTGTAATCTGCCTCTCTCTTCCCTTACTTTGATCTGAGGGAGAGAATCAGAAAGATCATTGCTGGCAGTGTTCCAAGTGTTATTGTGTGTTATAAAAAGAATCACTTGTTTTACCCTTTCGCTGCTGGTCACAGTTCTAATACCATGATCAGAGTGATCAGTAGTGAGTTCTTTTATATTTTTGTTTGGGGGGAGGGGGTATATTTTTATTTGTTGTTAAAGTATGATCTTTTTAACCCTTTATAGTTTTTGTTAACCTGTTCCTGAAATCTGATCACTGCATAATGTGTCACAGCATTCTATTTAACATAGCCTGATCTTTTTTTTTTTTTTTTAAACCCAACTTTAACTAAAAAAATAAATAAACAAATATATATATAGTGTAAGAACACTTGATATACAAGAGGTAAATTAGGGTTGAACAGATATATCTCTGCAGTTCTAGGTTTTGTTTTGGTTCAGAACTTGGACAATTGCCTCCGTACTTAAAAACCGACCAAGCTTAAAGAACCACTATGCTCCCCAAAAGCACTTCAGTTTATTGAAGTGCTTTATGGGTGAGGAGAACCCTTATTTAATCCCAGTTTATAAAAGTGCTGATTTCTCGTAGAAATCAGCACTTTTATAAATTAGCTAGGGAACTTCCCCTAGGGACCTCAGACCAGCCCCTCAGCCTCAGAAGTGCACAGGTGACAGGACGTGCATGGTACGAACAGGTGCACATGCACGCAGCGGCACACAACAATGGGCATTCTCTATGAGTGCGGATCAACAAACTTGTCATGTGTGAGCCTCCATCTTGATTACCTGTCAAACATTGTTATAAGCAACTGGTATACAACACCATGGTTAGAGGATAAAAAAAAAAAAAAATAGAGAACCCGACTGTGATGTATAGAGAGTAATTCTGTGGCAAATTTCTACAAGTAGAACAGTCATGAAAACCAATCATATGTTCCTGTCGACTGCTTCAGTTTTAAAACTTTTCTGCTGAATGACTCTTTATGCATAAACCCCACTGTGCTAACAGGTTCATTCACTGATATGTGTATTCAGATTACCTAGCAACCTAGGCCAAAATGTGACTATAGCTGACCTGGAATTTCTTTGTCCAATATGCAATTTTGGCCAAATATTTTTAATTCACTCTTAATTTCCCAACAAGTCGCATTCTAATCAATAACTCTGTATGTTTTCACAGTGTTCATGTAAGGAGAATGACCTCACACATTTCAATGTTTTAATTACATAATGATTTATGTTTCTCTCTCATATAACTAATTACTTTATTCAATGACAGACTAAAAAAATAACTTATGACTACATACATGGTTATAAAAAAACCATTCAATTATTTATAATGTTGCATGGCTTTTTAAATAATATAAAAACTTTAAACACTTATGTAAAGGGGAGTTACTTTAATCACACATACAATTGTTGCATACCTCCCAAAATTTCACAGTGGATAAAGTGGGACATTTTAATTTTAGGACTATGCTTGGGGGATTCGGGGGCTGTTTTGAGAAATTTAGGTGAAGAACTAATAACAATTTATGCAACTAAAATGTAATTTCAACTACAAACAATGTATCTTATTTACAAAGAATAGTTTAAATCCCTCTCTCCCTTCCTAATGTCCATCTTTTCTAGAATCTCCATACTGTTGTTGTGTCAGAGTGTACAACACTACAGCAATAATACTCACCATAATGTGTATTTAACCCCTTAAGGACTGAGCCAACTGTACAAGTTGTGATCAAATCAAAAGCAAAAAACGAAATTGAACGCTAACTTTGGCCAGTGTTTGTGACTAAGTGGCTACTAAAAAAGACTGGACATACCCCATTTGCAATACCTTGAGTTGTCTACTTTTGCAAATGGTATGCCATCATGGGGGTAATTCTCATTCCTGGGCTACCATACGGTCTCAAAGGCAACATAACCAACCGGGCAAATTTCAATGTGAAAAAAAGTAAACTCAAGCCTTATATTTGACTCTGTAACTTTTGAAAACACCATAAAACCCTGTACATGAGGGGTACTGTTTTACTCGGGAGACTTCGCTGAACACAAATATTAGTGTTTTAAAACAGTAAAACGTATATACAGTGGAAGTACCGTTTGTGTCTGAAAAATGCAAAAAACTGCATTTTTACTGAAGATATCATAGTTGTGAAATGTTTTAAACGCTAATATTTGTGTTCAGCTAAGTCTCCATAGTACAACACTAAACCTACATTCTGCAGAATAAGTTGGCGCTATATAAATACCAATAATAATGTTACTGCCACAGTTTGCTTCAAACAGCAATATGTTTAGGCAACTGCTTGATCATTGCTGGCTTTAAGCCTTGAAGGATTTGCCCACAGATTTCACAAAGGTGAATATTGGCTGCTAGATTCAGAAATGATAACTAGCACATACATCATGGGACTCTTACCATGTCACCCCCATGTTGATTGCAAAGCAATGGTAAAGACCGACGCACACAACATGACGTCACGGCGCATAATTCCTACGTAACGAATTGGAGTCGTTTTCTAAACTCATTGGCTACAGGTTCAGTGGTTTAGAACTCTATGAACAGCCTACCACGGATCTGTGCTGGAGATGCATGCTTGTTGCGTCTCTAGTGTTTAGAACTTTGGTTTGACGGCTGCTTGAACGTCATCAAAATGAGACTGTCTGGTCCTGCGTCTGCCTATTACGCGAACCCCTAGCACGTGTTTGTATACAGCATGCCCAAGCACCGCAGTTCCCGGGGAGCTGCTCCCCGCCAGCTGCCCCTGGCCGAGCAGATCCTACAGGAAGGAGCCGTGAAGCCGACATCTCGGGGTAAAAGGCGGGAGCAGGTGGCAGGGGGCGCGGAGGATGACGGCTATGTGGATGAAAAGTTATCCAGGAGGATCCTGGAGCAAGCACGGATCCAGCAGGAAGAGCTGGAGGCAGAGCATGGCCCTGGACATGGGGCTCCCAAGGAGAGGACAACCGTGTTGGGTGAGGCAAATGAGAGCATTTATTGAGTGGAGGGAGGTTGGGTTAGTAAGGGGTAAATATAGCGAGTGTCTTTAAATCAGTACACACACCAGCACCACTGCTATCACATACACAGTGAGTTTAGTCTGTCCATGCATGCTGGTAGGGGGGTGCTTTTATATCAGCCAAAAACAAACAAACTACCCAGTCACATTAAGTTACAAATGCACTTGATGGAGGTTGCTTCTTTAAATTAAAATAATCTGCCAAAAACACTTGCTGCATTTTGACTCTGTTGTCCCTAATCATAGCATAGGGAATACTAGTGCAAGTCATTTTGGTTCTAGTTCAGTTATCTGTTTTCTATTGTAAATAAAAGCTAACCGGTGTAAACACCAAAAAGGCATGATAAATATACAGCAGTAGTTTTGGAGCAGCTTTGGAACACTGAAGGTAGTGATGGAGGGACTGAAAAGATGTGTTCATGGAGCAAAAATAATGCCTGGTCTACCCCTTTTAATATTGACAATTTCATGTTCTAAACGTTTTCATTGCTGTTGACAGATCCTAAAGGAAAAGCGGAGGGTTCAGACTCTGAGGATGATGAATGGCCATCCCTTGACAAAGCAGCATCCCTGGACACTGGGAGTTTCAGTGAAGACGTGGAGGTGAACCCTGAGGATGAAGCAGCCATTGAGATGTTCATGAACAAGAACCCACCAATGAGGTTAGAGGAGTACTAGTCACATTGATTACCTACATTCTTTATATAGAGACTATAACAAGTGCATGCTTGCCATACTTCTATTGAACCTTGTGTGAAGCAGTAAAGAAAAACATTAATTTGGCTTTAGATGTTCAATGCATTCTTGTTGCCAGACAAATTATGTTACACAGGGAAAGCTGGATATTATATATGATGTTTTGGAAATATTTTGCAGACGGACTCTTGCTGATATAATCATGGAGAAAATTACAGAAAAGCAAACTGAAGTGGACACAATGATGTCAGAAGTCTCTGGTCGTCCTATGCCACAGTTAGACCCTAGGGTGTTAGAAGTGTATAAAGGAGTGAAAGAGGTCAGTGCCTTGCTAATACTGTGAAAACAATATATAACAGTGTTGTTTGTACAAACTGTGTAAATGACAATCTTGCTGATATTACATGGATACTTCTAATGTGTGATGACTTTACAGATAATGCATTGATCCCCGTGTTTTTGAGAACTTAGTTTTAAAAGAAATACTTAAATTAAAAAAATAAAATACATATAAATGTGTATTATTGCAGGTTCATGTTTGTGTTAAGATCACAGCACCACTGTCCAATCTGATGCTTCTTATTAGGGGCACAAAGTGGACAATACACCAACAATGCTTTTCAGCAACATTGTGTTTCCTTTAAAAGGCCTAAACAATATATTATTGTCACAAGGTTAAGTAGTTAACTTGTTTCAGGGCAGAGTAGACCAGGGCTTGATGAATTTGCTTGAAATCTAGGAGCCAGCAAAAAAAATTAAAAGCCCTTTTTATCAACACCAAAAATACCATTCTTAAAGGGATACTATAGTCACCAGAACCACTACAGCTTAAGTCTATATCCTGTCTCTGAATGCTTTAAAATGTAAACACTGACTTTTCAGACTAAAGGCAGTGTTTACATTGCCGGGTGACACCTTTTAGTGACGGTCACTCAGATGACCTCTAGAAATTCTTCATACTGTGCAGCTCCTAAGTTAATGTTCCTTATAGGGATGCATTGATTCAATGCATCAGTATGAGGAGAAGTTGATTAGTGCAGTGGCATTTTGCCGTGCATGCGCACTAATCTCTGTGATAGAGCTCCCTGTAACCCAGCTGGCTACCCCCGTCAAGGTCGCTTCCTAGCTTTCCACCGGGACAGCTTGGCTCGGGTCTCTGTGTCACTTCCCGTCCTGGGTACAGGTTCAAGTGATTAAGCTCTCCTGCAGAGAGTATAACTGACCTAAACATTAGGACTGAGTGAAGGGTGAAAATTAACTGGTTTATTCAGGCAAGGCACACATAATTTATACACAGCCTCCAGCATGGAGTCTCAGTTGTATTCAATACAAGCCCATCCCAGAGATCTGTTTCTGGAAGATAATTTGATTTAAATACTGGTAAGGTAATTATATCCCAGGAACAGAGAGCCAAACATAACAACAAAAGTACCCCAAAAGATATAATATACAATAATCCCACATGTCATACATACCTAAACAGTCCTGATCCGAGCATCAAAGTTGTCCAAATAGTACTCATATCCATGCAGTATAGGGGAAACATCACTGGGGCGGACCGGCCGCACATGTAGTTCTAGCCAAAAATCGTTCCAGAGCATTTGGTGCTTTTGCCAGCCAGCTTTTTGGGAGCTCCTATGGCTGAAAAACACCCCGCCTGGCTCTCAGGGAGTGTTTGTTTCCTTTATTCTTGGGCACCTTCCCTCCAAAAAGCACTCTCCTGGTGGCTCGCAAAGTGGTTCAAAACACCGGACCAGGTTGTCCGGGAACCGCAAGGTCACCTAGCCAAACTGTTCTATAATATTCGTGGCTAAGTACCGCTGAGGTGACCGGGAACCACAAAGTCCTCATGGCGAAATTAGTTCCAAAGCGGTCCCTGCTAAGTACCGTTGACGACCATTCGCGTGAACAAACCCACGAACGTTCGGGAATTAGTGTTCGGTTCCATTATTGAGAAGGGAAAGTGCGAACCAGGGGCACCAAGGGAAGGCTGCTAATGACGGCTGGGCAGGGTAACTCCTGAATAGGGTCTCCGACCTGGACCATAGTCACGGGGCAGGAGGGCAACTTCCACACTCCTCCAGGAGTTCGTGGCAGACAGCCGTGAACAAGCACGTTTGTCATAGTCTCCTAATGCTTTCCTATGGGGAAGCATTGGATTGGCTGAAATCGTCAAGATTGATGATCTCCGCCATGGTGGGGCCAGTCGCCGCTTTTCCCATGTGATTTGGAGGGTGGCAGGTCACTTAAACATACACACATACAGACACTGACTGACCGAACGACAGACACACACACACACACACTCGCTCACTAATAATTACTTTTTTTATTTTAATTTAAATCCACACAGCCTCCCTACCTTTTGGATAGCTGGAGTGGATAGGCTTTCCCTGGGGTCCAGTGGGGATTCTGTAATTTCTCTGCTCAGCTCCCTCTCGTGCAGTTTAGTGATGTGGGGCCAGAGTGACATCACTGCAGGATGTGCGAGGGGGCAGAGCAGGGCGATTACAGCTCCCTCGCCACCATTCTAAGTCAGCCGTCCGCCTCCCTCATGTCTTCATGAGACGCTCGCACTGTCATCTGCCCGGGTCCCTCCTTCAGCACCCCATTACCCTGCTGCCTCACTCCCTCAGCTCTCCATGAGCTGCCTGCTTGCCTCTGCTCTCAGGCAGCCGGTCACCTCGGGGGATGAACAGGCACACAAATCCCAGACGCCAGGACAAATTTCTTGGGCGCCATGGGAAGCTGGGATTTGTCGTGCCCTGGAGTAGACTTTTCAGAACGAATGCCTTGCCACTTACGGAAGCTGAACGTTCATTTTAGGTATTTGTTCCATAAGCTTTTCTGTCCTTTTTATGTTTAAGTACTGCAAACAGAAACCCTATCATTAGTTCCACTTATACTAGATATAATAGACATTATATTACAGGTATGTCTCGGCATCTTTAGTTATTTTCTATAAAGATTTTGGAGAGAGGTGTTTCCTCAAGAACATCAGATGGAGTTATGTATTGTTATAATTTTTTTGTCATGGGTCACTGATCGTTATATGATCAGAGCTCTTGCAGCTTCTCAGCTGACTGTCGTTGTATTGATGCTTAGAGCAGGGCTTGACAAATTTCTTTGAAATCTAGGAGCCAGCTAAAAAAGTTAGGAGCCAGTTTTTTGTTTTTTTTAAACTAGTGAAGTTTAATTTATGAGAAATATACAATTCTTAAAAGGACACTATAGTCACCAGAACCACTACAGCTTAACCCCTTAAGGACCAAACTTCTGGAATAAAAGGGAATCATGACATGTCACACATGTCATGTGTCCTTAAGGGGTTAATATTGTTGTTCTGGTGCCTGTAGCCTTTTCAATGTAAACACTGCCTTTTCAAAGAGAGGCGCGCGCACGCTGACTGGGAGAGAGGCGCGCGCACGCTGACAGGTCACACCGACAGTTTCCATTTTAATTCCCCCAGCCTCCCTACCTTTGGGAGAGCTGAGTGTACTTTCCCTGGAGTCCAGTTGGGCTGCTCTTTCTGCGTGCAAGGGAGCAGTAATCTACCTGCCGCTCCTCTCTGCCCCCTGTAGTGATGCCGGAATGACGTTGTATTCTGGCTTCTGGTATCACTATACAACGCAAGGAAGCAGAGAGGAACCGCTTGAAGATCACTGCTTCATTGCACGCTGCCCCAGCCGACCACTAAATTGCTCCCCCGGGCGGCCGTCTGCTCGCTTCCCGGGCGGCTGTCTCCATGCTCCTTGAGCTTGCCGTCCACGCTCCTCAGGGCGACCGGCCGGCTCCATTGTTCCCCCATCCTGCCTTTAGCTAAAGGGCTTCAAGTCCCAGGCGCCAGTGCAACATTTCTAGTCGCAATAGCGACCTGGTGCCTGGGATTTGTCGAACCCTGGCTTCGAGCCGATTTAATATTTATTAACTCTAATAATTGTCAGTGCCATTCTTAGAATGATATTGTTTGTTTATATGTGCTGACTTCCTCTTTAAATACTGATAATCCTTTTTAATGATGACAATGCTTGGATGGGAATCCTTGCTCTCAACAAAGATCTAGGGCTATAAATTAATTTTCTTCATAGACATGCAGCCTGATCTTGGCACACTAATTTCTAAAGAGCAGATTATGATTATTTAATGTTGGTGTTTTGGAAGGGACTGATAACCTATATGTGTTTTTATTCATCACGTTTCACTTTACAGGTTCTATCATCTTACCGTAGTGGAAAACTCCCCAAGGCTTTCAAGATTGTCCCTGCTCTTTCTAATTGGGAGCAGATTCTGTATATAACTGAACCCGAAACCTGGACTGCAGCAGCCATGTACCAGGCCACCAGGTGGGTGTTCTTTCACATCTATTAATGTCCTAATTTCTGACACATTTTCCACTCTTTCATAAGTGCTTTGGAGTGCTAATGGGCATATCTTAATGATAGGTCCTTCCTAATACTGGATACACTTTAAAGGAAAACTTCACACTTTAAAAGTCCAAAAAACTAAATGTTGTGGAAAAATATATTAACAAATGTAATAATACTAGTTCTATTCTTTTCTGCAGACTATACCCCAGGGAAAGATACAAATTTTTATATATATATATATATATATATACACACACACACATACACACATACACACACACACAATATTAAGAAACAATATATCAAATAGTCACTCATGGAGTTGAGAGCTGTGAAATGAGCTACAGCTTTTTAGTCACTGCTTCGGAATTTGTATATTTATTATCTTCAAATAGATAATTGTCTCTTATGTACCTGGAAGCAAATGAAAAAGCTTTGAAATGTCCTGCTATTTAGATATTTATAGAAAGCCAACAGATAGCTTCTTGATCGAAGGGGATATCAGACTGCCATTCTGGGGTCAACAAGGATTTTTTTCCCCTAGTTTGTGGCAGAATTAGAAAGTTTCAAACTGTTATTTTATTTTTTTTCTTGGATCAACAGCAAAAACAGATGTGAGGCTGAACTTGTTAGACGTATGTCTCTTTTCAGCTATGTAAATATGTAAGATCTATTATGGTTCAACCCAGGCCCCAAAGAAAATAAAATTAAAAAATATATATATATATATATATATATATATATATATATATATATATATATATATATATATATTCTCTCTATCTGGCATAGCAAGCCACATGTGCCCTCCAGCTGGGCTGAGACCAAATATAGTAGTCTTCCCATTCTGCTAAATCAATTGGCATGTGTAGGAGCAAATCTAGTCCCCAAAGTTGTTCCTTGCACCAGGAGATTTAAATCATTATTAAAATGTACAAAAACACAATATGGCCATATAGTGACACTGAATCCCCATATTTGTTTTATGAAATTGGCGATTTTAAGTAGCCTTATTGAATTTAGAAATGTATTTCAGTGCGCTATTCCTTAATCTGTATTATTTATACATTTTGGTCGCTACGGCAGCACCATTCCTGCAAGATGCATGTTTAGGGTGTGCTTTCAATTACCTTTTGTATTTTGAGTTTATGGCTTGGTTGATTTTAGTATGTTTCACCTTTGCCTAAAACAGATTTTTATATTTATTTATTTATTAAATTAAGTACTTTCTTATGTTTGGCCAGCAAGGTTTGAATTAAAAAAAAAAATAAAAAAATCTCTGCTGTCCTAGAAAAAAATGAGGGGGATTCATTTTGCAGCTGTGGAAATTATTTTTTGGATATAGTGTAAAAGCAGTGAAACATGACCAGTTATTGTATTATGACACAGTCCTATATCATGCATCCAACCAACCAACCAAACCTTTTGAAAGGAAGTTTTTGAATCCATTTGGGAACTGGCAGATGGCAGCTGATGTATTATTTAGGATAATCCCCATTTGTCTTTACTTTATTACCATCTTTAGTTTTATGGCTAACCCTGTCCTAGTTGTTTGTGTTTTTTTTTTTTTTTTTTATATTACATGAGAAGGAATTGGAAAAATATGTATGTGGCTATTTTCCAATCTTTATATTTGGGTAAGGGACTTATTTTGCTTTCTATATTGCCATTTAGTAACACTTGTTAATGTTTTCTTTTTGATCTGTCCCCAGGATCTTCTCTTCCAACTTGACAGAGAGAATGGCTCAGAGGTTCTATAACCTGGTCTTGCTTCCTCGCGTACGGGATGACATTGCTGAATATAAGCGCCTCAATTTCCACCTCTACATGGCCCTCAAAAAGGCTCTTTTTAAACCCGGTGCCTGGTTTAAAGGTAAGTGACCGAAAGTGTTTTTAGCCTTCAGATATTGAAATCTTCTAATGTCATGGATAACCAAATGATAGCTTTCAGAATCTTGGGGGATGCATTTGCACTCTAATCACAAAGTTGTTGTATACTGCTCTGAGGTCAACAGATGCAGAAAAGACTTCACCCAGCTTATAAACCAACCCCAATTCCCCAAAAAACAAACCACAAAGCTAGCATTAGTGCATGACATGACTTGTTTGTCTATCCAGTTGAAGGTACTTTTGTGGTAAACACAACCCTGTTATCCATCTAGGTATCCTAATTCCACTCTGTGAATCTGGGACATGCACACTGCGAGAAGCTGTGATCATTGGGAGTATCCTCACCAAATGCTCCATCCCTGTCCTGCATTCAAGGTATGTGGCCCTTTTTCTGTGAAACAAGCCAGTGCGTCAAGAAATGGACAAAAATTAAGAAAACATTTTTTAAAAATATTGTGTAGTATAAAAACAAATGGACAGATGAACAAAATAATTATTTAGTGATTTCCTTCAGCCCTTGTATGAACCCTAGTGCATGCTTTTTGGAGAACACACTCTACTGTTTCTGGGATTACCAGTCTTATGAATCTGAAGCTTGTCACTCCAGGATATCACAGCTTTAGAATAACCAACAGACTCCTTTATACCTCACCCTAACCTATTTAGATGTCACGTATGGTAAAAGTCCAATTTGTGCACATATGACATTTTGAAAGAAAAGCATCTTTTGAGTAAACTTGTATTAATCTGTTGCTTTTGCCTGCATCTCCATTGGTGGTTGAACAAGGTTGAGGTAAAATTGGGCAGAGTGCAGTAATTAAATCTTTTTTTTAAGGACCTGTGCCTCCTCTGTCTCACACTCCAGCTTATATCCATTTGTTTCCTTCCAGGCTTCCTCTTTGAAACTCTTGCTTTCTCTTTAGTATATTTTTGTTTGTTCAAGTTTTATTTGCTGTGTTCCGTCTTCCTGGTGGGAGATGTTGATTCCTGGTGGTTTAAGAGGGACTCCTCTACCACTGATCTCCTGTTGTACCTCAGTGAGGGTCTATTTGGTCTTCTGCATTTTTTTAGTATGAGTGCCACTACATATCTCCTACCGGTTATGTCACAGTGATGGTATGAGGAACTAATGATTTCACAACTTTACCAAGACAGCTGGAGGTCGCTACATATTGTAATGTTCACCCCAGAGCAGAAGTGGGTAATTTCTATGATTTCTAAAGTCTGGATGTGGTCTAGAACTAGTGATCTACATCTGTACCATAACGTTAAAATGTTTCCATCCCCATCTCTAAAGGACACCATTACCAAATGTAATAACATAACAGCATAATTTTTTTTTTTTAAAACAGTCACCTGATCTTATTTTTCCCATTTACAGTGCTGCTATGCTGAAGATTGCAGAAATGGAATATAATGGAGCAAACAGTATCTTCTTGCGTTTGTTGATTGATAAGAAGTATGCTCTTCCTTTCCGTGTTTTGGATGCTCTAGTTTTTCACTTTCTTGCTTTCCGTTCAGACCGGAGGGAACTGCCAGTGCTGTGGCATCAGTGTCTTCTCACGTTGTGCCAGCGATATAAAGAAGACTTGTCCTCTGAGCAAAAGGAGACCTTGCTAGAGTTACTGCGCATTCACTCACATCATTCGATATCGAATGAGATCCGCCGAGAGCTTGCAAACTCAAAGTGCCGAGATGTAGAGGGGGTTGCACCCATGGGCATTGACTGAGACTGTTCAGTATTAGCTGGCGGAGCGTGTGAATGCAAATGATAAAGCTTTAATGACTTCTGAAATTCAGTTAGAAGGCACGGACTGTTTGCAGTATGTGTTTTCAGGTCGAAGAGTAGTAATGGTGCAAAAGATTATTTATTATACCTTTTATTCATCTTAGAATTTTGGGTGATGAGATAACATTCTCTGGACAGATATAAATCACATGTCTAAAATGTATAGTCCATGTCAACCTATAGATATTAAAGTACTGTGCTCCTTTTGAGCATGGTCCTTGATATAATTATGTATAAATATTTTTACCATCTATGGCAAGTTTGAACTTTCCATGCATTAAAAAAAAATTACACATTAAGACTCCTTTTTCTTTTAATTTTTTTTTTCTGTCTTGATTAAATCTTTGTGCTTGAGACCATTAACAAACATAGAAACATAGAATGTGACAGCAGATAAGAACCATTCGGCCCATCTAGTCTGCCCAATTTTCTAAATACTTTCATTAGTCCCTGGCCTTATCTTATAGTTAGGATAGCCTTATGCCTATCCCTTGCATGCCTAAACGCCTTCACTGTGTTAACCTCTACCACTTCAATGCGAAGGCTATTCCATGCATCCACTACCCTCTCAGTCAAGTAATACTTCATGATATTTTTAAACCTTTGCCACTCTAATTTAAGACTGTCCTCTTGTTGTGGTAGTTTTTCTTCTTTTAAATATAGTCTCTTCCTTTACTGTGCTAATTCCCTTTATGTATTTAAATGTTGCTATCATATGCCACCTGTCTCGTCTTTCCTCCAAGCTATACATGTTAAGATCCTTTAACCTTTCCTGGTAAGTTTTATTCTGCAATTCATGAACCAGTTTAGTAGCAATTCTCTGAACTCTCTCTAAAGTATCAATATCCTTCTGAAGATACGGTCTCCAGTACTGTGTACAATACTCCAAATGAGGTCTCACCAGTGTTCTGTACAATGGCATGAGCACTTCCCTCTCCCTATACAACCAAGCATCCTGCTAGCATTTCTTGTTGCTCTAGAACATTTTCTGCCTACTTTTAAGTCATCTGAAATAATTACTCCTAAATCTGTTTCCTCAGATGTTGAGGTTAGGACTCTATCAACAATTCAATACTTTGCCCTTGGGTTTTTACGTCCAAGATGCAATATCTTATCCACATTAAGTGTCAGCTGTCACAGCTCTGATTATTTTTCTAGTTTGGAACCAAGGTATAAATAAGTGGAGCAGTGAATAAAAGAAAATTTATCACAGTGTCAAAAAAACGTCTTTGGTAAGACTAGGCATGTGCATGGGTAAAATTTTCGGTTCTGAATTTTTCGCAATTCGGCATTTTGGGACTTATATTGCAGCCGCTTAGTAGATAACTCCCTAATTCCCATGGTATTAGGGAGTTATCTACTAAAAGGCTGAAAGACCTAAATTGGTCTTTCAGCCAAATTTACTAATACTAAGTAACAATTACTTAGTATTAGTAAATTTTGCCCGTACTCGCTATACCGCGAGTAGGGGCATGTCTAGTAAAATAAATAATAGGGTCCCCCCACCCGCGACGTGCGAGTGGGGGCTTTTAAACTAAAGGGGGGGACCTATTGCCCCCACAATTGAGCGGTGGGTGGGGGCCCTAAATTGGAATAAGGGGGGGGGGGTGGAAACCTAATGTCCAACCCCTGGCCCCTTCCCCTGAGCGGCGGGTGGGGGTCCTAATTTGGAATAAGGGGGGGACCCTAATGTCCTCCCCACCCCTGAGCGGTGGGTGGGGGCCCTAAATACCAATGGGGGGACCTATTGTCCTCCCTGAGCCGGCGGGTGGGGGCCCTAAAAAAAAAAAAAATCCTGCCTTCCCCCAGGTGACTAGGGGTCCCCAAACCCCTAGTCAGCCCCTCCCTCTCAAAAAAAACCCTAAAAATAATGAGGGGGGATATTTAATTAAGTACCTGTAAAAAAAATAAAAATAAAAAAAAAAACTTACCATGTTTTGTTTTCTTCTAACATCTTCTTTTTCAGCCCCAAAAAAGGCCAAATAAAAAAACATAACTGACGCAATTAAAAATAAAAATAAAAAACCGAGCACACAAAAAAAAAAAAAAATCAATCCTCACCTGGCGAGGGCGACCAGCAGATGTCGCCAAAATGAAACTCCTCATTGCATGTATAGGAAAAATCATAAATACAAATGATAGTGTAGATCAGGGATCAGCAACCCATGGCACTCAAGGTGCCTTTGCACGGCACTCAAGGCTGCCAGAGCTTCCAGTGGCCTATCAGGAGTCCAAAGTGCAAACCAAATGGTGACTGCAGGTGATGAGTCAATCCTGAATTTACGATTTGCAGCAGTTAAAAGAAGTGTTCTCAGATCTCTTCATCCCAGCACTTGTGAATGGGAATCCATACTGGAGTAGAACAGCCCAAAGCTGCTATCGTAGCTTCTCCTATACCCTTTCACCCACACATAAACAGAGCTGCAGAGAATTATCCCACTCCTACAAATAATATCGGCCCACACACAGTCACCACTGACTTTCCACACAACCCCACAAGCAGTTCCACAGAAATACACACCAAACACAGAATGTGACTGTAGTGGACCCTGGGTAATCCGACCGGTTACTTCCACTAATTCCTTCCTTCAGCCACTCTGGAACCATCAAATCAAACAAACCTCCATTTCCCCAGTAACTGGACGAGACTCAGCTCTGGGAGTGCAACACGATTTTATTGTGCCACACATTTTATGCATAACTCCTTGCAAGAGGTCTTCCACACAAACAGTCAGGGGTTTCCATCCCAGGATCCTCTGTACCTGGGAGCCAGGGCGCAGGAAAAGGGACCTAGTCTTTGTCTTCTAGGTACAGAAAGCCTGCCACACATGCAATAGGTCTTCCACAACAAACGACAGGGGTCTTCATCCCAGGATCCTCTGTGCTTTGGAGCCTTGGTGCGGGAAAAGGGACCTTGTCTCCCAGGCACAGAAAGCTAGCCAAAGTAGCCAGTGCCCCAAAAGTGTCCCCACCAACCTTAGGAACCCCCACACAAGTACTTTTCCAGATCAGTCTCTGTTCGTGAGGCTCCAGTGCGTACACAAGGCAAGGGAAGCATCTCCATTTAAGATAAAAATGCCCCCCCTAGTTGGCGTCCATCTATACGAAAAGGCGGCCACCCATGGGAGCACTCATTAATTACTTCCCTTGCGGTTTTGCACTTCTGTTACTGGTGTGACCGTTCTAATTAATTGGGGTGAAGGAATTGTTTCTGTTTGAATAGACGCTCCAGAACGGGAGAACAAGGCACAGCACACGAAATACAGGGGAACACACACAATACAAGGGGAAAACATACGAATAAGCAGTGGTTCTGCCACAGTGACGTATAATCCACAGGCACAATTACACAATTTGCTACCATACATAGCCCACATTCATAGGTATGATACACAATAGTATAGTGTAATAGAACAGCCAACATACACACAAATATAGTTGCTACAAAGCAACTATAGCACCCAAAAATAACACAATACGGTAACATACCTCAATTTAAAAAAAAAATAGGATCGGCACGCAGAGGGAGTTCAAAATCTTGTTTTGTCACAGTACTACTAAAATGTTGCCTACCCCTGGTGTAGACAGTTATAGGTATATAACTCCACAATATATATGTGTTTTAGCTCAACATAAGTAAGCTTTATAATGTCAGCATAATATATAAACACTGGTTTAAAAAAGTCTTATGCTTCATCTCATCCCGACCGCGGACGTCCCAGGTCAGTATATAATATGTGTGGGTACAGTAAATGAGTAAGAGGAAAATTACAGCTAAACACAAACCCCCCAGAAATGTAAAAACAGGCCTGGTCCTTAACGGTAAGAAAAAAAAAATAATAAAAAAAAATGGTCTGGTCACTAAGGGGTTAATATCATAACGTGCAAAATCAATTTATTACAAGTAATTCTGTGAAGTAAAACAAGAAACACACTGTCTCTTACAAGATAGTGGTGTGAGTATATACAGCATACGCCGTTACTACCTGCCATGCTTGGTAAGTAAAGTATATCCAGTTAAGGGTTCTGGCAGACAGCTCAAGGTGGCTGTGCTGTTTTTAATGCGATAGATCAGCTCCAGCCGTTTTCGGACAGCATTTCGTTTACAGGCAATGTTCCATTTACCAAACAAATTCTAGAGCTCTGCCCCCCACGTATGACGTCAACGCTTTTCGCTGGGTGCTGCCGGCCTCCTCAGGACATAATGCTGTTATCTCAATCTTGGAAGAGGGTATTTGAGGGCATAATCAGCCTTATTCAGCTGTTCTAATTTGTGTGCTGGAGAATTCCTCATTTGCATATCGCAATCTCTACACACTGAGTCCTTAAACACATACACCATGTGAGAAATCTTTGCTTTTTTGTAATATATTTTTCTGAAGAACTAAATAAAGCATACTGCATACAAAGTTTAAATAAACCAATTTTAAAGGGAAAACAATACATATAGTAAAAGGACATATATTGCAAACACATATACATTTAGTTAAAACAACATAATTTCAGACGTAGTATGTATACACCCTGTTCCAAATTATTATGCAAATTCTATTTAAGTGTCACAAAGATTAAATATTTTGTTTTTCAGTTTAACTCATGGATGGCATTGTGTCTCAGAGCTCTTTTGATCACCGAAAACAATCTCGGACACCTGTGATAATTAAGTATTGTATAATATACATATATAATGCATACATATGATTGCATTATAAGTGTGCTTTGCTATCTCAAAATACACTTATAATGAAATCATATAATATCATCATATATGTATATATTATAAAATGCTTTAATTATTTTATAATATATTATACATATATAGGAAATAAGTGTGTGTGTATATATATATATATATATATATATATAAAATATAAAAACTTTTTTAAAATTTATTTATATATATATATATATATATATACACACACACACACACACACACACACACATTCTACATATATATTTAACTATTAACTACATAATACTACATAATTATTTGATTTTATTATAATTTGAGGGACCTGCCTTACAACCCATGCAGACAGTCCAGAGAATTTAATTGGCAAGCCCTATGTTAAACCCCGTAACTTTCCAAAACTCCATAAAACCTTTACATGGGGGGTATTTGTATACTTGGGAGACTTCGCTGAACACAAATATGAGTGATTTAAAAATGAAAACTTATCACGACAATGATATCACCAGTAAAAGTGCAGATTTTGTTTTTAAAAAATGCACACAAAGAAAGAAAGAATAAAAACGTTAACTTTGGCCAGCATTTGTGACTAAGTAGCTACTACAA